TGTGTGTGTGTGTGTGTGTGTGTGTGTGTGTGTGTGTGTGTGTGTGTGTGTGTGTGTGTGTGTGTGTGTGTGTGTGTGTGTGTGTGTGTGTGTGTGTGTGTACATGTGCATCCGTGCGTGTGTGTGTCCTGAAGACACCTACTGTAGCAGGAACTATCAGAGAAGTGTTTTTTAGCACTTTGGCAGGTTTTTCAGTGTCTGTCAGTCAGTCTGTCTGTGGACAGATTTTGTCAGTAATGAAACTTGACAGGTGTGTGGTTGAGATCAAAAAAGGCAAAGATCAAAGATGGGTGTGGTCTGGGCAAGGTCGCCAGACGTAGGTCAGCAAGAAGTAGTGAAGAGGTCATTGGCCCCCCATGTTATCCCGCTGGCCCACATTAGTTTTCAGTCACAGATCACTGTATCCCAGCATCACTCCCATCCACAGACCACCTTGCGATGGGATCACACCAGTATTATATTCCACAAATCAACATTACAATAACAATGATGATGTGCACCCATGGAAAGAATAAGACCAACCACCGGGAATGTTACTTTCTGTCAGCCATGTTTACAGTCTGTCTCAGGTACATTTACTTCAAACATATGAGCACAGCATTTTATTAATCACTGTATTTTTTTATTTACCTCCACCTAAGAGGATATATGCTTTCACAAGTTAAAAATCAGTCATACTCAAATATCACGCAGAGTGGTTTTATAGTGCCTTTTTTAATGTTATTATTTTTTTAGGATAGAAAAATCTTAATTTTCAGTGTAACATCCAGTGTATAAGACCAGCAGGAGTTTGATGGTTTAGTTCAGTCCAGACTTCAAGAGTTAGTCAGTTCACATCAATGAGAACAACAGATCTGAGTTTAGTAACAGAGGAGACAGAAACCTGAAACTGACTGACCTTTTACAAGAGAAAATGCAACATGATTTTTCACTGTCATCTGTCAAAGAAAATATAACTTGAAATAAAAATAATTCAAAAAATAGTTCATGCATGGACTGTTGATTGATGGATTTTGTACAGCTGTTCAACCAACTCCAGTCACTGTGAGTCTCCAGCACAATAATAAACAGCAGAATCTTCAGTCTTCAGACTGTTCATCTGCAGATACAGCTGCTCTCTGCTGTTGTCTCTGGAGATGGTAAACCGGCCTTGGACTGACTGAGAGTAATATTTTGTGCTGCCACTATTGGGATCAGCAGCAATCCACTCCAGTCCTTTTCCAGGAGCCTGTCTGATCCAATGCATCCAGTAGTCACTGAATGTGAATCCAGATGTTATACAGGTCAGTCTGTGGGATTCTCCAGGTCTTTTAACCACTGGTTCAGATTCTGTCAGAGTCTGACCATCAACACCTGTAACAAAAAAATAAATAAATAAATAGCTGGCAAGTTGAATAAATGCTTCAAAGTTTTAAAGACAACTTCAACTCAGGATCAGAGAAACTCTTCACCTGCCCAGCAGAGAGTTAAAAGCAGCAGTCCTGTCCTATAGTCCATCATGTTAAACTGTGTGTCCACTGTTCTCTGTCATCCTCTCTGCAGTCAGATAAGTAGAGGTGGAAGACATCTGAGTTTTGCATTGACTCCTCCTCACAGGGAGGAGAGAACTGGTTTGCATTTGACTTTCTGTTTTATATTTATAAAATATTATTCTAAAGTGAGAGAAAAGTCTTCAGAAGTTTAATTTTATTATTGGAATTTAGGTTGTTAAAAAACGATTTTTGGTTGAATTATATTGTTCATGAGGTTTATTCACAAGACAAAACATCACACAACTGAAAACTCTGAAAAATTTCATGATACTGATTCAGTAACTAGTGCAGTTGCGATTGAGAGAATATGTTTTGTTTTTTAAATATTGATTTTATGGAAGAGACACTTTGTGAAGATCCATGTCTTGTTGGATTATGACCTTTTTAAAACCAGGTTCTCAGCTGGATGAATTTCATCACTTGAAAGGTGTAATAGTGTTATTCAGTTTTCACCTTTGGTAAATGTACAGTTATATTTCAGATATTATAAAGTCAGCATATTTGAATTAATGAAAACAGTTGCTGTAAAATTTAATTAAGAACCATTTATAAAATCTAAACACTGTTTCTCTCTTTACTGCAACAGTGAGCTGGTGTGAAATCATTAGTGGTCTGAGGGCTCCTCCTCTGGTGGCTTCATGTTACAAGTGTTCAGGCACTGAGGGGTTTTTGTTCAGGTCTACTGATGGTTTGTGTTATTGTGTGTCTGGCACAGTAATACACAGCAGTGTCTTCAGGCTGCACATTCTGTCCATTTAGAGTCACTCTGTTGCTGGAAGAGTCTAAGTCAATACTGAACTTGTTCTTTAGTGAATCTTTGTAGTATGAAGCTCCAGTAGCAGCCATTCCAATCCACTCCAGTCCTTTCCCTGCAGGCTGTCTGATCCAAGCTGTGTAGTAGCTGCTAACAGAATAAGAGACCTGACAGGTGATGGTGAGACGTTGACCTGGCTGCACAGTCACAGAGGCCGGCTGTGTCAACTGTTCACACTTCACACCTGTTAAAAAAGAAAATGTTTTGTTATAAATGATCAAGTTCTACAGCAAGAGAAGAAAATGTTGACTATGACAAATCCAGAGAGACTCACAGGATCCAGCTGCCAACAGCAGCAGCAGAGCTACAGAAAACATGGTTTATGGTGAAGCTGACGAGCTGTGAACTCCACTGACAGTCTGATCTGAAGTTTTTATAGCTGAGTAACAAGGAAGGTCACTGAGTTTGCATAGAATCAAACACATGAAGCATCAGAGTTGGTCTAACTGGAGCCGATAGTGTTTGTTCAATTTTACTGTCAACACCTCATACTACATGTAATTAATTATTAATGTGGCAGCACATAACTTTTTTAATGCAGCAATTATTCTTCTATATATATTTACTTATTACCTGTATTTACTTACTAAACCTGTATGACAATGAACAAAAAATGCATGCTCTGGCTGAGATGAAAACTGTGGTATAGTTCCTGCATTTGTTGATTTACTTTTTGTCATTATCACCATATTTTACCTTTATCTGTGTGGTTGCGTCAGTTCATATCAATGAGAACACCATAGTGCCTCAGAAACTTGATAATGACTGACGTCTGCTGATTTTATAGTTGGAACTGCAATATTTCTTTTTAACTCTCACGATATGAATACCTTTTTAATCCACATCATTTAATTAATATTGATTTTATGGAAGAGACACTTTGTGAAGATCCATGTCTTGTTGGATTATGACCTTTTTAAAACCAGGTTCTCAGCTGGATGAATTTCATCACTTGAAAGGTGTAATAGTGTTATTCAGTTTTCACTTTGGGAAACATACAGTAATATTTCAGAGATTATAAAGTCAGCACATTTAAATTGTTGAAAACAGTTGTAAAATTAATTAATTTAATTACGAACCATTTATAAAATCTAAATACTGTTTCTCTCTTGACTGTAACAGTGAGCTGGTGTGAAATCATTAGTGGTCTGAGGGCTCCTCCTCTGGTGGCTTCATGTTACAAGTGTTTAGGCACTGAGGGGTTTTTGTTCAGGTCTACTGATGGTTTGTGTTATTGTGTGTGTCTGGCACAGTAATACACAGCAGTGTCTTCAGGCTGCACATTCTGTCCGTTTAGAGTCACTCTGTTGCTGGAAGAGTCTAAGTCGATACTGAACTTGTTCTTCAGTGAATCTTTGTAGAATGAAGTGCCACCAGCTCTCATTCCAATCCACTCCATTGCTTTCCCTGCAGGCTGTCTGATCCAAGCTGTGTAGTAGCTGCTAAGAGAATAAGAGACCTGACAGGTGATGGTGAGACGTTGACCTGGCTGCACAGTCACAGAGGCTGGCTGTGTCAACTGTTCACACTTCACACCTGTTAAAAAAGAAAATGTTTTGTTATAAATGATCAAGTTCTACAGCAAGAGAAGAAATGTTGACTATGACAAATCCAGAGAGACTCACAGGATCCAGCTGCCAACAGCAGCAGCAGAGCTACAGAAAACATGGTTTATGGTGAAGCTGACGAGCTGTGAACTCCACTGACAGTCTGATCTGAAGTTTTTATAGCTGAGTAACAAGGAAGGTCACTGAGTTTGCATAGAATCAAACACATGAAGCGTCAGTGTTGGTCTAACTGGAGCCAATAGAAGAGTCTGTTTGGTGTTACTGTCAACACCTCCTACATCAGATTAATGTGTCAGCACATCTATTTTTACTACAGCATTTATTCCTCTATTTAATTGTTATCTGTATTTACTTACTAAACCTGTGTGACAATACACAAACAAATGCATCCTTTAGCTGAGATGAAAACTGTGGTATAGTTCCTGCATTAGTTGATTTACTTTTGTCATTATCACCATATTTTACCTTTATCTGTGTGGTTGCGTCAGTTCATATCAATGAGAACAACATAGTGCCTCAGAAACTTGACAATGACTGACGTCTGCTGATTTTATAGTTGGAACTGCAACATTTTTTTTCACTCTCATGATATGAATCACTTTTTAATCCACATCATTTACAGAAATTATATGTATTTATTCAAAAGAACATAATGCATTTGAAGTTTGTTTTCAGCAGCCACATTGTTGTACAAATTCTCCTTATTAGGACTTTTGTTTTTCATATTTTTCAGGAAAGGATAAAATAATTGGCGATGTGAAGCATATACTCTTATATAAAGATGTCATATGAAATCAATTATTTGATATGTAATATATATAATAATAATACAATAACACTTAAAACTCAGGCTCCACCAGCCTGAAATATGAGGATTGATGGATTTTGTACAGCTGTTCAACCAACTCCAGTCACTGTGAGTCTCGAGCACAATAATAAACAGCAGAATCTTCAGTCTTCAGACTGTTCATCTGCAGATACAGCTGCTCTCTGCTGTCGTCTCTGGAGATGGTAAACCGGCCTTGGACTGACTGAGAGTAGTATTTGCTACTGCCACTACCACTATCATGCCAGGCAATCCACTCCAATCCTTTTCCAGGAGCCTGTCTGATCCAGGCCATGTAGTAGTCACTGAATGTGAATCCAGATGTTATACAGGTCAGTCTGTGGGATTCTCCAGGCCTTTTAACCACTGGTTCAGATTCTGTCAGAGTCTGACCATCAACACCTGTAACAAAAAACAAAAATAAATAAATAGCTGGGAAGTTGATTAAATGCTTCAAAGTTTTAAAGACAACTTCAACTCAGGATCAGAGAAACTCTTCACCTGCCCAGCAGAGAGTTAAAAGCAGCAGTCCTGTCCTATAGTCCATCATGTTAAACTGTGTGTCCACTGTTCTCTGTCATCCTCTCTGCAGTCAGATAAGTAGAGGTGGAAGACATCTGAGTTTTGCATTGACTCCTCCTCACAGGGAGGAGAGAACTGGTTTGCATTTGACTTTCTTTTTTATATTTATGAAATATTAATCTACAGTGTGAGAAAAGTCTTCAGAAGTTTAATTTCATTATTGGAATTTTAGTTGTTGAAAACAGATTATTGGTCGAATGACATTGTTCAAAAGGTTTATTCACAAGAAAAAACATCACACAACTAAACACTTTGTTTTTTAAATATTGATTTTATGGAAGAGACACTTTGTAAAGATCCATGTCTTGTTGGATTATGACCTTTTTAAAACCAGGTTCTCAGCTGGATGAATTTCATCACTTGAAAGGTGTAATAGTGTTATTCAGTTTTCACTTCGGGAAACATACAGTAATATTTCAGAGATTATAAAGTCAACATATTTAAATTGTTGAAAACAGTTGCTGTAAAATTTAATTAAGAACCATTTATAAAATCTAAATACTGTTTCTCTCTTGACTGTAACAGTGAGCTGGTGTGAAATCATTAGTGGTCTGAGGGCTCCTCCTCTGGTGGCTTCATGTTACAAGTGTTCAGGCACTGAGGGGTTTTTGTTCAGGTCTACTGATGGTTTGTGTTATTGTGTGTGTCTGGCACAGTAATACACAGCAGTGTCTTCAGGCTGCACATTCTGTCCATTTAGAGTCACTGTTTTGCTGGAAGAGTCTGTTTCAATACTGAATTTGTTCTTTAGTGAATCTTTATAGTATGTTGTGTATCCAGTAGCAGCCATTCCAATCCACTCCAGTCCTTTCCCTGCAGGCTGTCTGATCCAAGCTGTGTAGTAGCTGCTAACAGAATAAGAGACCTGACAGGTGATGGTGAGACGTTGACCTGGCTGCACAGTCACAGAGGCTGGCTGTGTCAACTGTTCACACTTCACACCTGTTAAAAAAGAAAATGTTTTGTTATAAATGATCAAGTTCTACAGCAAGAGAAGAAATGTTGACCATGACAAATCCAGAGAGACTCACAGGATCCAGCTGCCAACAGCAGCAGCAGAGCTACAGAAAACATGGTTTATGGTGAAGCTGACGAGCTGTGAACTCCACTGACAGTCTGATCTGAAGTTTTTATAGCTGAGTAACAAGGAAGGTCACTGAGTTTGCATAGAATCAAACACATGAAGCGTCAGTGTTGGTCTAACTGGAGCCAATAGAAGAGTCTGTTCAGTGTTACTTTTAACTCCTACATCAGATTAATTATTTAGGTTCCAGCACATAACTTTTTTTACTAATGCATTTATTCCTCTATTTAATTGTTATCTGTATTTACTTACTAAACCTGTGTGACAATACACAAACAAATGCATCCTTTAGCTGAGATGAAAACTGTGGTATAGTTCCTGCATTAGTTGATTTACTTTTTGTCATTATCACCATATTTTACCTTTATCTGTGTGGTTGCGTCAGTTCAGATCAATGAGAACACCATAGTGCCTCAGAAACTTGACAATGACTGACGTCTGCTGATTTTATAGTTGGAACTGCAACATTTTTTTTCACTCTCATGATATGAATCACTTTTTAATCCACATCATTTACAGAAATTATATGTATTTATTCAAAAGAACATAATGCATTTGAAGTTTGTTTTCAGCAGCCACATTGTTGTACAAATTCTCCTTATTAGGACTTTTGTTTTTCATATTTTTCAGGAAAGGATAAAATAATTGGCGATGTGAAGCATATACTCTTATATAAAGATGTCATATGAAATCAATTATTTGATATGTAATATATATAATAATAATACAATAACACTTAAAACTCAGGCTCCACCAGCCTGAAATATGAGGATTGATGGATTTTGTACAGCTGTTCAACCAACTCCAGTCACTGTGAGTCTCGAGCACAATAATAAACAGCAGAATCTTCAGTCTTCAGACTGTTCATCTGCAGATACAGCTGCTCTCTGCTGTCGTCTCTGGAGATGGTAAACCGGCCTTGGACTGACTGAGAGTAGTATTTGCTACTGCCACTACCACTATCATGCCAGGCAATCCACTCCAATCCTTTTCCAGGAGCCTGTCTGATCCAGGCCATGTAGTAGTCACTGAATGTGAATCCAGATGTTATACAGGTCAGTCTGTGGGATTCTCCAGGCCTTTTAACCACTGGTTCAGATTCTGTCAGAGTCTGACCATCAACACCTGTAACAAAAAACAAAAATAAATAAATAGCTGGGAAGTTGATTAAATGCTTCAAAGTTTTAAAGACAACTTCAACTCAGGATCAGAGAAACTCTTCACCTGCCCAGCAGAGAGTTAAAAGCAGCAGTCCTGTCCTATAGTCCATCATGTTAAACTGTGTGTCCACTGTTCTCTGTCATCCTCTCTGCAGTCAGATAAGTAGAGGTGGAAGACATCTGAGTTTTGCATTGACTCCTCCTCACAGGGAGGAGAGAACTGGTTTGCATTTGACTTTCTTTTTTATATTTATGAAATATTAATCTACAGTGTGAGAAAAGTCTTCAGAAGTTTAATTTCATTATTGGAATTTTAGTTGTTGAAAACAGATTATTGGTCGAATGACATTGTTCAAAAGGTTTATTCACAAGAAAAAACATCACACAACTAAACACTTTGTTTTTTAAATATTGATTTTATGGAAGAGACACTTTGTAAAGATCCATGTCTTGTTGGATTATGACCTTTTTAAAACCAGGTTCTCAGCTGGATGAATTTCATCACTTGAAAGGTGTAATAGTGTTATTCAGTTTTCACTTCGGGAAACATACAGTAATATTTCAGAGATTATAAAGTCAACATATTTAAATTGTTGAAAACAGTTGCTGTAAAATTTAATTAAGAACCATTTATAAAATCTAAATACTGTTTCTCTCTTGACTGTAACAGTGAGCTGGTGTGAAATCATTAGTGGTCTGAGGGCTCCTCCTCTGGTGGCTTCATGTTACAAGTGTTCAGGCACTGAGGGGTTTTTGTTCAGGTCTACTGATGGTTTGTGTTATTGTGTGTGTCTGGCACAGTAATACACAGCAGTGTCTTCAGGCTGCACATTCTGTCCATTTAGAGTCACTGTTTTGCTGGAAGAGTCTGTTTCAATACTGAATTTGTTCTTTAGTGAATTTTTATAGTATGTTGTGTATCCAGTAGCAGCACTTCCAATCCACTCCAGTCCTTTCCCTGCAGGCTGTCTGATCCAAGCTGTGTAGTAGCTGCTAACAGAATAAGAGACCTGACAGGTGATGGTGAGACGTTGACCTGGCTGCACAGTCACAGAGGCTGGCTGTGTCAACTGTTCACACTTCACACCTGTTAAAAAAGAAAATGTTTTGTTATAAATGATCAAGTTCTACAGCAAGAGAAGAAATGTTGACTATGACAAATCCAGAGAGACTCACAGGATCCAGCTGCCAACAGCAGCAGCAGAGCTACAGAAAACATGGTTTATGGTGAAGCTGACGAGCTGTGAACTCCACTGACAGTCTGATCTGAAGTTTTTATAGCTGAGTAACAAGGAAGGTCACTGAGTTTGCATAGAATCAAACACATGAAGCGTCAGTGTTGGTCTAACTGGAGCCGATAGAAGAGTCTGTTTGGTGTTACTGTCAACACCTCCTACATCAGATTAATGTGTCAGCACATCTATTTTTACTACAGCATTTATTCCTCTATTTAATTGTTATCTGTATTTACTTACTAAACCTGTGTGACAATACACAAACAAATGCATCCTTTAGCTGAGATGAAAACTGTGGTATAGTTCCTGCATTAGTTGATTTACTTTTGTCATTATCACCATATTTTACCTTTATCTGTGTGGTTGCGTCAGTTCATATCAATGAGAACAACATAGTGCCTCAGAAACTTGACAATGACTGACGTCTGCTGATTTTATAGTTGGAACTGCAACATTTTTTTTCACTCTCATGATATGAATCACTTTTTAATCCACATCATTTACAGAAATTATATGTATTTATTCAAAAGAACATAATGCATTTGAAGTTTGTTTTCAGCAGCCACATTGTTGTACAAATTCTCCTTATTAGGACTTTTGTTTTGTCATATTTCTCAGGAAAGAATAAAGTATTGGCGATGTGAAGCATATACTCTTATATAAATATGTCATATGAAATCAATTATTTGATATGTAATATATATAATAATAACACAATAACACTTAAAACTCAGGCTCCACCAGCCTGAAATATGAGGATTGATGGATTTTGTACAGCTGTTCAACCAACTCCAGTTACTGTGGCTCTCGAGCACAATAATAAACAGCAGAATCTTCAGTCTTCAGACTATTCATCTGCAGATACAGCTGCTGTCTGCTGTTGTCTCTGGAGATGGTAAACCGGCCTTGGACTGACTGAGAGTAGAATTTGCTGCTACCACCACCATTGCTGATAGTAGCGACCCACTCCAGTCCTTTTCCAGGAGCCTGTCTGATCCAGGCCATGTAGTAGTCACTGAATGTGAATCCAGATGTTATACAGGTCAGTCTGTGGGATTCTCCAGGCCTTTTAACCGCTGGTTCAGATTCTGTCAGAGTCTGACCATCAACACCTGTAACAAAAAAATAAATAAATAAATAAATAGCTGGGAAGTTGATTTAATGCTTCAAATTTTAAATACAACTTCAACTCAGGATCAGAGAAACTCTTCACCTGCCCAGCAGAGAGTTAAAAGCAGCAGTCCTGTCCTATAGTCCATCATGTTAAACTGTGTGTCCACTGTTCTCTGTCATCCTCTCTGCAGTCAGATAAGTAGAGGAGGAAGACATCTGAGTTTTGCATTGACTCCTCCTCACAGGGAGGAGAGAACTGGTTTGCATTTGACTTTCTTTTTTATATTTATAAAATATTATTCTACAGTGAGAGAAAAGTCTTCAGAAGTTGAATTTTATTATTGGAATTATAGTTGTTAAAAACCGATTATTGGTCGAATGACATTGTTCATAAGGTTTATTCACAAGA